AAAACCGGGGTGGGATTCAAATTTTTTAACCACTGGCCCTGTGGGTGTGGCTAGGCGGGTGTGATCATGTGACCGGGTGGGTGTGGCTTCTTTTTCAGCAACCTTCCCATTTTTCTTTGCCGCCTGGGCCTTAGGGAAGCGTTCTGGGGGCAGCATTTTTACTCCCAGAATGATTCCCTGGGGCTCGGGAAGGCAAAAAACGGAGTGTGTGGGGGGGTACGACCCCCTTTTGCCCCCTCCTTTTGTCTCCTGGGCCTCAGGGAAGCCTCCTGGGTGAAGCAGTAAGACAGCGAGGGGGATCCCAGCACAGCTGATCATCAGAACAGCTGATCATTGGGGGGGGGGAAGAAATACTTTAAGGAGTGACTGGGCGGGGAAGAACACAGTCAGCAATGTCGGGCGTGTACGCAGTGTCGCGCATGTGTGATAAGGAGTGACTGGGAGAGGAGGGGGGGCAGGCGGAGAGGGGCGGGTACAGCTATGGGCGCGATTTGCCAGTTCTCCGAACTGCGCAGAATCATACCAACCGGTTCTATGGAACCAGTCCAAACCGGTAGAATCTTACCCCAGGGCAAAACTCACTTAACAACTGTCTCACTTAGCAATGAGACAGGCTCAATTGTGGTCCTAAGTGGAGGATTGCCTGTATGCAGAAGGCAGACGTTTCTCAGTCTGAAAATTAGGTAACTGTTAAGAAAATTGAGGAAGAGAGGCATGTGATTAAACTGACTGCTTCATCAATAAAAGCAGAAAGCTGGCAAAACGTTTAAACTTTTAGGAAGGCAGAGATCTCACCCACTTGCTCTTCTTTGCAGGAACAAAAAGTTACACATGAAGAGTCTTCTAGACCAACGGCCTCCAATCTTATTGATTCCATGGACCAGCGGCGGTGGCAGAGGTGGGGGGAGGGGATGGTTTTGTGTGCGCAGTCTAATCCTGCACATGTGCAAACAAAGTTTTGTGCATGCTCAGATCGCTTTGCTGGTACTCACCGGTACCATTCAAAATTCACGGGTTGGGCGTCCTTGCTCTAGACAAGGCGTGTCAAACTCAATTTCATCGAGGGCCGAATTAGGGCTGTGGTTTGACCGTGTGTGTGTGTGTGTGTGTGTGTGTGTGTGTGTGTGTGGTTGACTGGGTGGGCCTGGCCAGCTTGACTCCACTCCCCAAACTGCTGGCATGTTTCCTCTTGTGGGTAGACTCGCCCAAAGCCACACTGGCTCGATGTTTCCTCTTCACATTGTAAACTGTGACAAAGCGATGCGGCGTCCCCTTACATTTTCCAGGACGGCCTTGTGGGCTAGATCCAACCACGTTGCGGGCTGGATCTGTCCCTCAGGCTTTGTGTTTGACACCTCTGCTCTAGACTTAGTACTATTGTATCTTCCAGGATCTTGAGTCTGCATTTTTAAATGTAGCCAGTCAGCCTCTGGGAATTTTGATTTGTATTGGAACAGAATAGCTAGAAGTAGACACCTGTAGTTCTTCACTTCCTCCCTATTTTCTGCATCAAATTCACCTTCTTACTGAAGCTTCTGTTGAGAATCTCATAGCTGTTGGAAGTGGGAATCTAGTCTAGAACAATGCCAAGGGGCTAACATATCCTCCTTCAATACTGGAGCTCCGATTAAGACTGGAGTTGAATATAGTATATATTCCAAATAACCAGTGCTTGTTATATTCCAAATAACCAGAAGATATATGGGAACTATGATTTGACTTTCTGCTTGGCTAGAAAAGTTGATATCTCAGTGTAAAACGCACGCCTACCATTTCCAAAGGCATCTACGCTGCCTCTTCTCTAATTCTGCTATTCAGCCGAGCTGCAAGGCAAATAAATACTGGGCCCAGGTCAACCTTGTATGCCTGATAGTGATTCAAACCTCCCAAATCTGCTTCTTGAACTTGTCATGGCCATGAGGCCTACACGGGATGACTAAAACTGCATCCCCCAAACCGACCATGAGAATTCTGTCTCCATCTTTGCACGTCAGATCCAAACCTGTGGTCTGCATTGCTCTCTTATTCGATTGGAGCCCCTGATTTAAATAGCAGTTACAATTATGTAGCTGGAAAATTGTCACGGTCCATATATTATACCAAAGTCTCTTTTTAAGTCTGTGAGCTTAACAGACGACGGTCAGGGCAACTGCAAAAGCTATAAACATTTATCAGGCTCAGAAACTCTTTTATCTCAAGGCTGGCAATTTGTACCCTCTCATATATTGATTTCTTCTCTATGAATTAGAACTCCTATGCCAGGCAGCGAAGGAATTTCAAATGCTTATGCAGACATTTTAAAAAGCCAAAGGATGTATTTATTTGTAAAGCAATAGCATTCAACCAACTCTCTCTCTTTGTATACACACACACACACACACACACACACACACACACACACCCTAACCTCTTCTAAACATCAGCAAAATCTTTCAGGAGTTGGGATGAGCAGTGAGACCCTTTCACTATAAAAGGTAGACCTCAAATTTGCTTCATGCTCTTTTCATTAAAAGTAACCCTTAAGTGTCAGCAATACAGGTAACCCTCGACTTACAACCACTCAATTGAGCCCAACATTTCTGTTGTTAATTGAGACATTTGTTAAGTGAGTTTCGCTCCCTTTACAACTTTTCTTGCCACAGTTGTTAAGAGAGTCACTGCGGTTCTCAAATTAGTAACATGGTTGTTAAGTGAATCCGACCTCCCCATTGACATTGTTTGTCAGAAGGTTGCAAAAGGGGACCTCGTGATCCCAGGACACTGCAACCGTCATAAATATAAGTCAGTTCCTGGCATAGCAGGGGAAGGATACTGCAAAATCTCCATTCCCTCCTCACCCCACTAACCTGCTTTCCAGCTCCGTTCTCCTGCACAGGGAAACAGATAACAGATAATCAGAGTTGGAAGGGATCTTATAGATCATCTAATCCAAACCCCCTGCCCAAGCGGAGACCCTACACCATTTTTGACAAATGGGAGTCCAATCTCTTCTTGAAAGTCTCAAGTGATGGCGCTTCCACAACTTCTGAAGGCAACTTCTGTTCCATTGGTTGATTGTTCTCACTGTCAGAAAGTTTCTCCTTGTTTCCAGATTAAATCTCTCCTTGCTCAGTTTCCATCCATTATTCCTTGTCTGGCCTTTAGGTACTTTGGAAAATAGCTTGACCCCCTCCTCCTCTCTGTGGCAGCCCCTCAAATATTGGAAGACCGCTATCATGTCTCCCCTGGTCCTTCTCTTCCCTAGACTGGCCAAGCCCAGTTCCTATAATCGTTCATTGTATGTTTTAGTCTCCAGTCCCCAAATCATCCTGGTTGCTCTTCTCTGTACTTTTTCTAGAGTCTCAACATCGTTTTTATAATGTGGTGACCAAAACTGGATGCAGTACTCTAGGTGTGGTCTTACTAAGGGTTTATAGAGTGGTATTAGTACCTCACTTGATCTTGATTGTATCCCTCTGTTATTGCAACAAAAGAAGACCCAGCCTATCAGCTGGGACTCGGGAGGCAGAGAATAGATGGAGGCAGGGTCAGTCTGAGATGGGATTTGCCGGTTCTCCGAACTACTCAAAATTTCTGCTATCAGTTCTCCAGGACTGGTCAGAACCTGCTGAACACCACCTCTGGACTGAATTTTTATCACGTGACCGTGAGGATGCTGCAATGGTTACAAGTGTGAAAAACAGTCATGTCACTTTTTTTCAGCACTGTTGTAACTTCAAATGATCACTACACGAATGGTTGTAAGTCAAGGGCTACCTATAAACCTAGTGCAGCCGATGAGACTAGACAAACACATAGTTAAAACAAAGCTGTAGCTTGAGGGGGTCAGGATTTGGATTAATGTAGAAAAAAAAACGGAGCTTTATATCCCCATCTTTGCATCCTAGATAGAAACAACAACAACAAAAGGGTGTCTGAACATTATGCTACAGGCTTTTAAACATGTTTTGCAGGTGCCAATTTGGGGGAATTAATTTAGATGTTTAAATCAAATCGTTGAAAAAATTCCCAGTCTTGAAAAGGCATTACTGATACTGAAAAATTTCTCCCTTTTACAATACTGGAATAGAAATGTGCTTTTTGCCTCAACTTTCTTTTGCAGGAAACTACATACACACACAGAGTAGGGGAAGAGAGGGGGAGAGAGGGAAAGAGAGAGAGGGAGGGAGGGAGAGAGAGGGAGAGAACATGAAGGATCATGTGGAAAAAGTTGTGTGTGACAAGGCCAATTTTTCATGTATCTAGACCAAGGGTGTTCAACCTTGACAACTTTAAGACTTGTGGACTTCAGCTCCCAGAATTCCTCAGCTAGCTAGCTGGGGAATTCTAGGAATTGAAGTCCACGGGCCTTAAAGTTTCCAAGGTTGGATGCCCAATCTAGAATCTGATCTAGATCTAGAATCTTCTGCAAGTCGATTTCACTGCATAAAACAAAGAATCCACCTAATTCCAAATTCTATTTCCCATGGTGGAAGAAAAATCCAGAGACTGGGAAGAAAAACCTGTCCTCTCTCAATTTCTCCACCCAATGTATATTTTCTATAAATTCTAATAATACAGACGGCATAGGAGTAGGAACTCTGCTATTTACGAACCACATTGGACATCACCTCTCATCAGTCCCACGAGTGTGGTTGTTAAGAAAGAGGTGTGGAAGTTGTCTTTCCCAAAAAATCAGAAGACCATCACCTGACCTGACCTGCTTTATCATCCTTCTTTTACATTTCTCCAAATGAAAACACCCAATTATTTAGTGACAGGAATCACATATATCTTTGACAACCCACCTGAGGCCAGTCAATGATTTCTTTCTATACCCTATAGGAGAAATTGATTCGTCTACAGCAATCACAAATCAAGAGGAGTCCAGTAGCACATTTTCAGATCAACAAATTTAATAAAATTTCATGCCTTTTAATCAAACTTGTTAGTCTTAGAAGGTGCTGTCTGTGACCTGATTTTATGTGAGCAAAATTAAATCACCAAAATGTCGTACTTACACGGATATCGGAGGATCCCTGGTCTTCGGGAGAAATGTTTTCTGAGCAGTTCTGGAGCTTGTACATCCAGTAATGCTTTGCAGTGATGATAAAGTTTAAGGGTAAGAGAGAGTTGGTCCCAAGGAGGAAGAAAATAATATAGGTAGCATTCCAATGGTCTTTGGGCTTGCCGAAAACATACTGGTTCGCCCCCGGTTCCTCACGGAGTGGTTTCTCTACTTGGATCGTCGGATTCTTTGACTTGTACAAAGAGCTTGTGCTGGTCTGGAAGTCATGTTCGCTGTCTTCCAAATCAAGAGACACTTTTCAGGAAGAAAATAAATATCATTATGATAATACATTAATCACCAAAAACGTCGTTACCCAATGACTTTTAGAATGACTAAGGCAAGCCGTCACCATCAGAATTATTGCATGGTTCGATTCTTTGCACCAACAAAAAGCTACAAATTAAGTTAGAGCTTTCGTTCAGATAGAAAGACGGAAAGGCTCTGTTCCTGCAGCTCAGGAGAAGTGGAAACTGTGGGCCACATACTCATTAGAGATGTTCCTTTTACACAGAGATTAGGGGGAAAAAAAACACATTCTGCCAATAACTGCTAGCTATCCTGGCCGTTCCGATACTACCTATCTCCAGTGGCTGCTTAAGGATGAACAGTCCATAACTACAGCTCAGGTGGCAGATTCTGCACAGCAGCACTGGGGATTCGTCGCAAAGACGTGTCTTCTCCACCATATCATGTTATATGACAAATGTGGCAAACGCTTTGCACTGCTTAGTCTGTTCCCTTTTAGCACTGAACCTACAATGGGCCTCACAGTTTATGGACTGTAATTTTAGTACAGTTAGTCCATGCATAATTGACAGGTTGGATTTTATTATAGATTTTATATTGCTATTTATTATTTTATACTAGAATGTTTAATTGTATACTTACTGAGCATTTTTATTTGTTCTGGTCTCTGGTCTAAGACTGTAACAAACTAATTGATTGATAGAAAGGTACAATGGGGATTTCTTCTAGCTCCTGCAATCTTAATTCAGTTCTCCTCTTATGAAACATGACAATGGAAACACTAGTCCGCCTTAGGGAAAGAATATAAATATTATTTGAGCTGATATCGAATATTTTGTACCAAGTCAGACATTGGCTTCTTCGGCCCAGCGTTCTCAGTTATTACTTTTGCTCCCTTCAGGATGGAGAGAGTTTACCCAGTTCCTATCTGAAGACACCAGAGACTGAGCCTGAGAACTTCTCCATGAAAGGATGTAGGCTCCTTAACAAGTTACCAGAAACAGACTGCAACACTCCAGAGAACTGCTAGATGGCAGCAAAGATACAGAACATTTACTCTTTCCTGCCATCTATTGGTGATTCATAGTTCTGCTGTGCAGAACTGGTAACTCTATCCTTGGGCCAAATCTCATCTAGATATCATTAAGTGTTGCAGCGACAGGTTAAACATTCTTGATGTATTTCCAGAAGACCCTGGAACTGGACTGAAAAACTGTTAGGCATTGTGCACTAATTTGTAATCCAGCACCAGCTTTTCCCAGTTTCTTTGCTCTGTGTGTGTGTGTATGTGTTTGTAACTATATCTATATCTACAGAGAGAGATAGAGACAGAGATAATTTGCCATAATCAACTTTCCTGAGTGGACACTAAGAGAAAATGGCTGGAATAGGACAGTTGGACTGCTTGTTCACAAAATGGTTGCTATAGTTGGTATATAAGGCAGAAGGCAAGCTGGCGATCAGGAGACTAGGGAGTGGTGGGGAAAAAAAAACAGGTCTTGGTGACCAGACACAATTTTGATGTGCCACTTATACACTTATGTGTGTGTGTGTGTGTTTGTGTGTGTATATATGTGTATGCATATGTATGTATATATGTAAATATATATGGTATTCAGCTTCGTTCGGGTATTTTCCCACGTCATTATAGTTGTGCTTTCAAAGTTGGAGCAACGTTTTGGCAGAATCTCATCTGCCATCATCAGGCTTCTGTATAGTGTTCATCTGTGAGTCAGACTTTCCTCATTATAGTTGTGCTTTTAAAGTCAGACAGACAAACACAATACAGAAGCCTGATGATGGCAGATGAGATTCTGCCGAAACGTTGCTACAACTTTAAAAGCACAACTATAATGACGTGGGAAAATACCTGAACAAAGCTTAATGCCATATGTGTAAGTACCCGCGAAAACTTAAGAAAACAAATATATATATATATATATATATATATATATATATATATATATATATATGCCATACATACATACATACATACATACATACGTGTGTTTGTGTGTGTATGTGTATGTATATATATGTATACACACACACACACACACACACGGATCATTCTGTATTGATCTTGATTTTTTTTTTTAGACTCAACTGGAGACCTTCTGCCAGTATGGATGTTCCTTATAACTCCGCACCCTTTTCACATTTTTGGGGGGAAAATGGGCCAAAGAAATCCCATTTTTATTTTTTGTTTCAAGATGCTTATAGTTGATTTGGCGCCCATAATTGTAATCAGAAATAGAAGGTACTCTGGGCTCGCACTCTGCCCCTTTCTAAACATTTTAACTAATCTAAACACATCTAAAAACTCCAGTGGAACAGTCTAATGAGTGCTCAGGCAGTATCCGCAGGCACACTGGGATTTACTGGTACCAGTAAGAAATCTGTCTTCTGACTCTATTTTGTCATATGGCTTTATTGAGAGAGTTTGAGGGCATGCGTTGAGTTTGCTATTCATTTACTTGGGGGTTGGGGAGAAACCTCTAAATTGTTACTTGCTCGGTTTTAAAAGAAAGCAGGACAAAGGAGTCTGGTGTATAATGAATACCCCTCTGGAGGGATTATAGGTAGTCCTTGATTTACGACCACAGTTTGGGCCACATCTTATGCTGCTAGGCAAGGTGGATGTTAAGTCAGCTGCGCCTGGCTTTATGACCTTTCTGCCACAGTTGTTAAGCGAATCAATGCAGTTGTTAAAAACTCGTATGGTCATTAAGTTAAACTTTGCGTGTTGGGAGCTGGCTGGGAAGGTTGCAAATGGTGATCACATCAGCCCAGGATGCTGTAACCGTCATAACAGCAATAGCACTTGGACTTATATACCGCTTCACAGTGCTTTACAGCCTTCTCTAAGCGGTTCACAGAGTTGGCCTTTTGCCCCCAACAATCTGGGTCTTCATTTTACCGACATTGGAAGGAGGGAAGGCTGAGTCAACCTTGGGCTGGTCAGGATCAAACTGCTGGCAGTTGGCAGAGTCAGTTTGCAATCCTGCATTCTAACCACTGTGCCACCCATGGCTCTTAAATGACTATATACAATGTATTTTGGAGGGCCACAGCACCACCACATCCATACTGGACATGCCAGTGGCCAAACACCCAAATTTTGATGCTGCAACAGTCTTTAAGTTCAAGGACCAGTTGTCACTTTTTCCAGTGGCATTGTAACTTCAAATGGCCACTAAATGAACGGTTGTAAACTGAGGATTACCTGCAGAAGGCTGCATAAAAAGGAGAAAGGACTCCAGCCCAATAGATGTCTCGGGATTCAAATATTCTTGATCGGGTTTTGTTTTTTTTCATCCTTGGCAACTTTACTTAAAAGTTCACACATTTTAAAGTTGTGCAGGTTGAGAAAAACTGCTCTAAATCACAACAGCCCAGTTATTTTAATAATTATCTCAGTATTAGATTGTGCCGAGATGGACAAACTTACAACAGAACTAACAGGCAAGGAGGAATCAGATTATTATGCCGTATGGGATAGATAGTATAAGTGGATATAACATAGGAATAAGGATTAATGTATAGAAATAAATGTAAATATATGTAATATCAATGACACAATTCTGTTAACAATGTAAATAGAGATGTGTAAAATAAATAAATATAAATTTTTTATATTTATTTATTTTTGAAAATAAATAAATAGAAAAAAAAAGAATAATTATCTCTTACAGCCCTTTTCTCTAGCTGAGCCCCCCCCCCCCATTTGGAGGTGGGGATAATAGGGGCTACAGGTAATCCTCAACTTACGACCACAATGAGCCCAACGTTTACGTTGGTTAAGTGAGAAATTTGTGAAGCCAGCTTTGCCCCATTTTTACCACTTTTCTTGCCCCAGTTCTTAAATGAATCATGCAGTTGTTAAGTTAATGACGCCATCATTAAGTGAAATCAAGCTTCCCCGTTGACTTGGCTTGTCAGAAGGTCGCAAAAGGGGATCACATGACAACCCCCGGGGACACTGACACGGTCATAAATATGAACCAGCTGTCAAGCCTCCCACTGATTATGGGGATGCGGAAACGGTCAGGAGCCACTGCTTTCAGTTGTCCTCCCAGGTTCAAAACCGGTCAATAAACAAAACTGTTGCAAGTCGAGGACGACCCCGTATAGCCAACACCCTTAAGGACCTCCTTATGGGGAAGGGCTGGGCCAACCCAAACCCCACGGCTGTATCCTGGGAGCCGAACCCTGGAAGAGATCATCCCTCAGAGATGCCAGCCGCTCCCAAGCTGACTGAGCGCTGAAGGCTTTGGCTAAGCCGTTCAAAAGTTGTTTGGGTCTAAGCGCGCGCACGAGGCCCGCCCGCGCGCGCGCGCACACACACACACCCCGCCGGCCACACTTCCTTGCACGTTTGAACAAAGTATCAGAATGTGAAACCTCGGAACATCCAGCCCGGAAATCTCTCTTTATTTTGCCGTACGATCGGCGGGCAAAGGATTCGCTTAGGAAAGGTTTTCTACCCGCTGTAAAGGAGGGCGGCGTGGAGACAGCCTCCCCAAGCGATTTAGCTATAGGAAAAAAAGGAAAACAAAAACAACTCGGGGGATTCGCAGCGTTTGTCGGGACAGAGCCGGCCAACCGGAGTTCAGACGTGCAAGAAAGACGCGCGTTTAAAAAAAAAAAAAGCCCCGATCCTTCAAAGGAAGGTAGAAAAAAAAAGCGAAGAGCCGCCGCAAGCGGAGGAGGATGGAAAGAAAGAAAGAAAGAAAGAAAGAAAGAAAGAAAGAAGAGAAGGAGCGACAGCCGAGCGCGAAGGCGAACAAAGCCTCGGCAGGGCCGCGCAAAAGCGAGCTTACTCTCGCCGCTTCTAGGCGTCTCCCCATCAAACTCATCCGTCCGGCTCGCGGTCGGGGCTTTGGCCGAGCAACGCCAACGCCGGCGCCGGCCCTCGCAAAACCCCTCCCACCGTCCGCCTTCCACGCCGCCTCGGCCCGGCCTCGCTTCCCTCTTTGCAGCCGGGCGGAGCCGCGCGGCAACACCGGCCGGCCTTTCGGCGGCCTAGTCGGAGCGCGGGGTCACATGCCACAAGGCTGAGACCAATCTTGGCTTTTTTTTCCAGGCTCGGCGTCCCGGGACGGTTTCGAATCAAGGTTGAGGCCAAGAGGCGCCCCGGGAGAAACCTCCCTTGGGGCAGCGGCTGAGGTGTCTCCAAACATCCTTTAAGACTTGTGGACTTCAACTCCCAGAATTCCCTAGCCATCAATTTTTTATTTTATTTATTTTATTTGGTTTGCCAATCTCTTACAAGATAACAGGCATAAGTATAAACATAGTTATAAATACATGAAATGGATACATATAAGAAAAATAAAAGAAACGATAGGTCAGGGACGGTAGGCACGTTGGTGCGCTTATGCATGCCCCCTACAGACCTCTTAGGAAAGGGGTAAGGTCAATAGTAGACAGTCTAAGGTTAAAGTTTTTGGGGTTTGGGGAAGAAACCACACACTAGAGTATTCCAGACATTGACCACTCTGTTGCTGAAGTTGTATTTCCTGCAATCAAGTTTGGTGCGGTTTACCTTGAGTTTGTATCTATTGTTTGCTCTTGTGTTGTTATGGTTGAAGCTGAAGTATTCATTGACAGGTAAGTCATTGCAATGTATGATTTTATATACCATACTTAGATCAGACCGAAGATGGTGTAATTCAAAGTTTTCTAGGTCTAGAATTTCAAGTCTGGTGGCATAAGGTATTCTGCAATGAGTAGAGGAGTTGAGAACTCTTCTTGTGAAATATTTCTGGATTTTCTCAACCGTTAACATCAGATACATAATGTGGGTTCCAGACTGATGAGCTGTATTCGAGTATTGGTCTAGCAAATGTTCTGTATGCTCTAGTTAGTAGTGTGATATTACCAGAGAAAAAGCTACGTAAGATTAGGTTAACAACCTTTTTGGCTATGTAGTTACAGTGGGCTCTAGCACTTAGGTCATTTGAGATGAGTACTCCAAGGTCCTTGACAGAGTTTGGATCAGCAACAAGGTCTTGACTATTCAGCCTCTATTTTATTTTCTGATTTTTTTCTGCCAATATGTAAGACAGAGCATTTGTTTGTTGAGATTTGAAGTTGCCATTTGTTTGACCATTTTGATACATAGTGGAGGTCTTTTTGAAGGGTAGCAGTATTGTCTGTGGTGTTGAATAGCTTTACATTGTCAGCAAAGAGAACGCAGTTGCTCTTAATATGATCACAGAGGTCACTTATATAGAGCAGGGGTGTCCAACCTTGGCAACTTTAAGACTTGTGGACTTCAAGCTGGCTGAGGAATTCTGGGAGTTGAAATCCACAAGTCTTAAAGTTGCCAAGGTTGGACACCCCTGATGTAGAGTATGAAGAGAGTTGGTCCTAGAACACCGCCTTGGAGACACCACTGTTGACAGGTACAGAATTTGATAGGACACTCCCAATTTTGACCATTTGTTGTCTGTTTGACAGGAATGCTTCTATCCAGTTATGCAGGTGTCCAGAGATACCGTAAGATTTTAGTTTTAGGAGTAGTTTGTTGTGTACCACTGAATCAAAGGCTTTACAGAAGTCTATGTAGATTGTGTCTATTGCTTTGCCCTGATCGAGTTGTGTAGTCCATATGTTTTTGCAGTGTAAGAGTTGCAGATTGCAGAATAGTTTTTTTTTCTGAAACCAAATTGTTTATTACAGAGTAGGTTGTTTGTTTCTAAGTGGAGGATAATGGATTTGTTAATAATTGATTCCATGACTTTACAGGTGATGCAGCATAAGGAGATTGGTCTGTAATTTTCAACTAGGCTGGGGTCTCCCTTTTTGAAGATGGGGATGACTGTGGCTTGTGACCATAGTTTTGGCAAGGAGCTGGTCCTGAAAGATTTTTCAAAGATTATGCTTAGAAGTTCTGCTATGGCAGTGGACAGCTTTTTAAAGTAATGGGCACATATTCCGTCCGGTCCAATAGATAGAGATGGTTTTAGATTGCGTAGTGCTTTTTCAACCTTGTCTTCTGTAAAATTGATATGTATTAGATCATTGTAGTTCTCTGTGGTCAAGGGTCAAGAGGTGTTGAAGCCCACAACTCTTAAAGTTGTCAAAGTTGGACACACACACACACACACACACACACCATTCTACATATTGTGTATGAAATGATTGGCTTTGTCATGCAAACCTATTGACACATACACAATTGATCCTTCCTTCAGAGTGCTTATGTCCCTGTATTGTGTGTGTACTTTCTTGCAAAAGTTGAGGCAGAAGGCACATTTCTATTCCAGTATTGTAAAAGGGAGGGGATTTTCAATATCCTCTGAAAACCTTCCTTGAGGCACTGGGTGAGGTTTTTCTCTTAAGGCAGAGGTGTTTCCAAACTTAACACCTTTAAGACTTGTGGACTTCAACTCCCAGATTTCCCCAACCAACATGTCTTAAAGATGCCAAGCTTGGACACCTGCGTCTTAAATGGATCCATCAGGGGTTCCCAAACTTGGCAACTTTAAGACTTGTGGACTTCAACTCCCAGAATTCCTCAACTCCTCAGAATTCTGGGAGTTGAAGTCCACAAGTCTTAAAGTTGCCAAGTTTGGAGATCTCTGGGTTACACCATCGCTTTTGCTAGATCTGGGCAATAGCAACAAAACAAAACAAAACCCAACAAATGTGTTTGGCTGTATCTTTTTCCCCATTTGGAAAATTTGCCATTTTGACATGGTTGGAACCTATTAAAATTATTTTCCAGTTGTGAAGTTTTTGATTGCTGACTACTTGGGTTTTCCTTCTCTTTCCCCAAAGCCTTTCAGAGCCAGTAAATTAATAACGCAGCTTTCGTAACTACATACAGTTGAATAAAGTAACAGTGTTAATCATTTATCAACACGACCTGCTGCACAGCATTGTTTATACCTACAGCTGACTTCCGGAACATAGATGTGATTGCAGACAATACAGTAAAGCAGCGTGCCACGTAGATGTTAGCCTATAATTCCTTCTTCAAAGAAGGAAGGAATTTAAGTCTTTTACTCTTCAAATTGAAGATACCATTATACTGTGAACCAATGTACTGTAGCTGGAAGAGACCAAGTTGGGGTAGGCCGTTTGTTCAATATGACCAGAAAAGGCGGATATGACTGAACAGCACCCTCTACAGCCTCTAGAAACTTAGCTTGAATAAAGGGGACAAACTCTTTGTCCCCATATAGATCTCACAGTATTTTTTTCACCCAGTATTTTAACGTCTGTGATTAAAATTGGTTGGGTCGGTTTGTCATTTAATTATAGTATCATTTTGTGGAGTCACAAGGTAATTTTCTGGTTGGCTGGCTAAGACGTGTGTCATACGAGATGGTGCATATGGGTTGATTAAGATACAAGACCAGCTAAGCTCTTCTCAAAGCCTAAGTTTGATTTGATTCTGCATTTATTTAAAATGAGAGGGACGGAGAGGGAGGGAGGGAGAGAGAGAGAGAGAGGAAAAAAAAATTGGCTCAGAAAACCATTCAGAGTTTCAGATGAGTCTGTAAAGTTGATCTGATTTTGACTTTGGGATCTTTTGGGAAAATCAAGTTGATCTCATTTAGACATTCCAAAAAATAGATCAAGGGAAAGTGTTTGTTCCTGTGCAAAAATCTTCAACTCCCTGAACTTTGACTGATTTCTCTTGGATTTCAAGTCGGAGGCATCCAAAATGACTCAAGACTTTGCATTCCTTTTTTGCAATTCTATTCAGAAATCCGAATGATCAAATTGCTTTCTGATTAAATCTCCAAATCAGTCTCATAACCCTTTTCTTCACAATGGTTTTCTTCACAATGACTGTTTTGAAATATTAGGGCCAGACTAATTATTTTTTTCCCCAAATTGTAAATGAAACGCTCATTCATTTTGAACGCCATGGGCTTTTTGCTTGGCTAAAATGATGGAAGATCGCTTTCTTAACACTTTCCTCCAGATGAGTGGGACTGTAAGACCATATTAATTGAAAATTATGAAACTTGGTTTGATTATTTGGAAAGTGGCCGGCTGGGGAATACCGGGAGTTGAAATCCACATATCTGGAAGCTGCCAGGTTGAGAAATAACGCTTGATATAAAGTGTTGAGAGAAGAGGGATATATGGAAAACATATCTATCATACATTCATGGTGGTAGATACCAGCAAATACATGGAAACAAAGTTCATACACCTTCTGTATAAAGAATAAGCTTCTGTATAAAGAATTACAACTTCCTTTAAGAAATACAACCCATTATTGTACTTTCAGTAATGTTGCTATGTTCAAATCATTTATGTATTGGAGAGAAAGTGCCTGCTTCAAATTAATTCATTTTCATTCTTCACTTCCTTGGAGGCATCACATAGCTGAATTTCATTTGCAAGTTACTGATCTGCCTTAACATTTAAATTTAAACCAGTCACCTTTAAGGCAATGTGATATTAACAAAAATGAAAGGATTTTTCAGATCCTATCTCTCCCCTTGTTCTTTATGGAGAAGATAAATTTGTGCCTAAGCTCTGCCATTTCAGACTGTGTAAATGAACACGCCTCCGTATTGCATGGAATAAAATCCTTGCCCACAGACAAATAGCATTTCAGGGGCAAGATTAAACCTTTCTTCCTGAAATCCCTTCTCCAGGCTGCTAAGAGGGACAGAAGAATTGAGAACAAAGTTCCTTCCTTCCTTCCTTCCTTCCTTCCTTCCTTCCTTCCTTCCTTCCTTTTTCCTTGCTATAATGTGCTGATGTATGCTATGCTATGCTATGCTGCTAATTCTCTGCATGCATATGCATTGTATCCTTTAGCTTGTAAACCTGGAAAATGCAAACCCTTTCCGAAAACCAGAGTAAAATCTTTATGTCACGTGTGTGCATTTTTCTGTGAGATTGCAGGTAATGTGTCTGATTACACATATCAGACATAACCATCCT